CTCTAATGTATCTCTTGGCTTACCCTCAAAGACCTGTTGTTAAGACGAAACCCATAGAACTAATACATTACGACAAATTGCCTGCCGGTGCCAATGCAATGGTGGCCGTCATGTCGTACAGTGGCTTCGATATAGAAGACGCCACTGTTATGAACAAAGCCAGTCTGGACAGGGGTTACGGCCGCTGTTTTGTATACCGGAATCAGAAGTGTGTTCTCAGGAGTTATTCTAAATTTAATAATATTAAGGACAGAATTATGGGTCCAATTGTTTCCGCCGAACCGCCGTATAAGCCGATCGCCAAACACTCGTGCCTTGACTTGGATGGCATCGCAGCCCCCGGAGAGGTAGTCAGCAATCGCTCAGTTATGGTCAACAAGTCATCGCCTGTTGTCAGCAATATTGACGACACGAGTCTCCCAAATGTTGGCGGAAGGGCTGCAATGGATTCGACGGCATATAAGGACTGTCCCGTCACTTACCGTGGAATCGAAGACGTGGTCATCGAGAAAGTGATGATCACATCGAACAGCGAGGAGTCGTTTCTAATAAAACTACTTCTGAGGCAAATGAGAAGACCAGAAGTGGGCGATAAGTTTAGTTCACGACACGGACAGAAAGGAGTCATTGGACTGATTGTGCCGCAGGAGGACCTGCCCTTCAATGTGGACGGCATTTGTCCCGATATGGTTATGAATCCGCATGGATTTCCCTCCCGTATGACTGTCGGTAAGCTTAAGGAATTAGTTGCGGGAAAGTCAGCCCTTATTGCCGGCACTCTACACGACGGCACTGTATTCGGTGGGACGACCATCGATGAGATATCCGAAATTATGTTGAAATATGGCTTCAATTATAACGGCACAGAAGTTCTGACTTCTGGCATAACTGGGGAACCATTGAGTGCTTACATATATTTCGGACCTATTTATTACCAAAAGCTAAAACACATGGTTTTGGACAAAATCCACGGCCGTTCCCGAGGACCTCGAGCAGTGCTCACTCGACAACCCACTGAAGGTCGTGCCAGAGATGGAGGTTTGCGTTTAGGAGAAATGGAAAGGGATTGCCTGATAGGACACGGCGTGAGTATGCTATTACTCGAACGGCTTCTTCTATCAAGTGATGCGTTCGATGTGGACGTCTGCACCGGTTGTGGACTTCTTGGGTATCAGAAGTGGTGCTCCAAATGCGAGTCCAGTCAGACATTGGCTTCTATTCAGATTCCTTACGCCTATAAACTACTTCTCCAAGAACTTCAAGCAATGAATATTCAGCCAAAACTCAAACTAACAAATCTGTGATCTAATCATTCACTCAATCAATCCATTATTTATAATTGTTTTTATTAGACGGCAATAAAATTAAATTTAAACCCAAACTTATTTGAAACTTGAGTGCAAAGATTGCTACAGCAAAGTGTCCCTCACTCTCACCATTCAAAGTATATTTATTTCTTCCTATTATAACCCGGAAGTCAAACAATGATTAGTTTTTGAATTAGCTTTGGTTTGTGTTTAGTTTAAAAAGTTTATTATAATATCACTAAAATAGAAACACATAATACCCTAGTTATATTGCTATACTGTACAGTACTGTGAAACTATTACAGTAAATAGTATAGTGTCTAGCAAACCATACATACATGTATGTGTTCATTATATGAGAAGTACACTAAACATAACAATTGATTGGTGGTTGGGAACCGGTGTAAGGCAATGATGGTGTCATGACTCATGAGAACAGTTATGAGTAGATAGGGACGGACTACTCGAGTATTAATAGTGGTTTTATAAGTTAGTAATGATAGCAATAAATTAGTCATAAAATGACATTTCGCTGTAAACACCGAGTAGTGCGCAAAGCCTGAGCCCTGTTGAGGATGTGATGAGTGCTCAACACTAGCCGTAGAGTAAAGTGTTTGTGAGACACCAATGCATTCAGTGAATGAGCCATTAGTTGTCAACACATCATATGATGGCATATACTGTGTACTCATATTGTTATATAAATAATAGATTGCATTACAATATCCATATCCCTGTATATAGTTATACCCATTGCCTGCCTGTGCTCACCACCAATATTACAGACAAGAGAGAGAGAGAGAGAGAGAGAGAGAGAGGAGAGAGAGAGAGAGACTGTGAGGAGAGATGCGGAGAGTGTGTTGTGGTGTGTTCGCAGTAGAGTGAGCACTGGTAGCTGTAATATGTAATGCTGTATGAATAGGATGTACAGTTTGGTAGTACTGGTATTATTAATACTATTAGACAGTATGTGTATGTATTGGTAGTATTGTATGTTTGTGTGAAGTGTTGGTGGCATTGGTGTAGAAATGGCTGCAAATCCGCGTAAATTCAGTGAAAAGATTGCTTTACATAACCAGAAACAGGCCGAAGAAACGGCTGCCTTCGAGCAGATCATGAGGGAAGTGATCGGCGCCACAAGAGTTAGTCATTTCATTGCTATGCCTGTCGTGTCTGCAAATGACCACTCATTCACAGACACACTATTTGTTTACATTTGATACACCACTCAATCCAATCAATTGATGTGACATTCACTGCATTTCATATCTATTTGTTTGTATTGAATTGTGCACAACCCTTTATACCATTATTTGATTACCATTTCACACATACTTACACTTCAATTGCTTGGACTCAGTCCCAGGTGATGGCAATGGCAGTGATTGTCATCACTTGAGTGGTGGTTAACGATGTGTTTACTGCTAATTGAGATGTCATTTAGTGATATATAGCTATATATTGATGATTGAGTTGATGTGTGGTATGAATGCAAATGAAATTAATTTAATTAAATGATTATATTTTAATTAAGTCTAACTGGTAGTCAATGTGTGCTATTATAGGTTAATTGAAAACAATATCCTATTAGTTATGATATATTATGTGTTTGAATGAGTAATTAGTGATAATTGAGTGAAAGTGTAGTTCCGATGCATTTATAGCCAATAAATGTGATTTAAATTGAATTTTCCTCAAAAAATGTCAATTAATTTACAGCAAGGTTTGCAAACATATGAACACATGATTGTAAGGATTGTATGTTTTGTGGCCTTGAATTCACACAAACATTTCAATAAATGTGTTTTAAATGAGATTTTCCTCAAAAAATGTCAATTAATTTACAGCAAGGTTTGCAAACATATGAACACATGATTGTAAGGATTGTATGTTTTGTGGCCTTGAATTCACACAAACATTGAGTTTCACTTCACTTTACATATGAACCATAATATCGACAATTATCTCACCATAACCTACCTGTGCTTAGGGGCCCACCTATCCTAAGAGCCAACAACATCTGCATATATCCTCATCCATGGTCTGCAGGGCTGGATCTCTACCTAATGTCAACCAAATCGGACAAAGTGTTAATAAATCGGGTATTGATTTACAGTCGGCGCTCAATAACTTGGAGGATATGAAACACGGGAGGGATGACCGCAGCGGTCGGCGAAACGTAAGACTATTGCGACATCGAGTAGGTGTGAGCCGTAGTAATGCCTGTCTGTCTGTCTGTCCACAGTTCGACCACAAGCGAGCCATGAATTCCCCGAATTGTGTCACTTATCTGAGTCCTCCTCCGGACACGAATTGGCGCCGAACTAACTCCGACTCAGCCCTACATCAGAGCGCACTCATGTCGACGAGTCAGCAGTTGGAGGCCTTCCAGAACTCAATTCCCCGAAGAAGTACTGTTCACGACGTGGACAGTTCGATGATTGTGGACGACTCGGCCGCTGTCATCGACTCGTGGGATCCGGGAAAGCAGGACAGGTATGAGAAGTATATACTCAACGCTCCACTGCCAGACCACTCGCGACCCAAGTCTTGTGAAGTGCCCGGTATTATGATATGTCCGACTCAGGAGGACTACAATTCAATGAACAATCATTTACCACATATTCCCATCTCTTCGAACACCGGCTCTTTGCCAGACCTGACAAGTCTTCACTTCCCGGCGCCGCTCTCAACACCCATTGATGTTGACGATCAGAGCGCCGGCATTCAGCCCAACTCTCCCTACCAGAGCGGTCCCGACTCGCCTTATTCTCCTCATTCGCCGCACAGTAATGCAAATCTGTCGCCACCGCCACCGATGGCTATCCAACAAATCAATAACAATATGTTATATCAATCGCATTCCGGTGCCGTCAGCGACGCCGTTGCTATCAATAACTCGAATCACCGACAGATGAGCCCATCTCCCGGTCCATCGCCATCGCCGACATCATCGCGTCGTCGCCATCACCACAATATCAATAACTTAGTGATCGGTAATCCTCGACATCAACATCATTCAAGTGGTCCGCACTCGCAAACAGTAGGTTATGCTCACAGTCCGCCACGGATTACAGTAGAGGTAAGGCGTTGTCACCATTGGTGTCATATATGTCCGCTTTTGTCAAAACTCGACGTTCTTCTCAAATCTTTACTCAATCTCTTGTCTCTAAACGTCTCACTCGTCTCGACAATTATCTTCTCTAAACGCCTTATCTCTACTATAATCTCAACCCTTTCGCTGCTTTTTGTTATATAATATGATTATTAATTGTATTTAATTTTAATTAATTTAATTACTATAAGGGTTTGACAATGGATACGAGTGCTCTTACACTCAATGGTAACTCACATTATGTGACTTCCTCTGGAGGGCCAGGTATGGCCTATCCTTCAACAGAGCAATACCAGAGTATACAACATCAGAGCCAAAACTTTGTGCCATCAGTGCCATCACATACGCCGCCAAAACCACAAAACCCCTTATCATTACGACAACCGAACTCTCCTTTGCAGGTGTGACCCATCACTCACTCTCTTAATTGCCATCAATTTGTTGTTATAAATATCTGTTTAACACTTTCTCATAGCCTATGCCCATGGGATTGCATAGAAGCACAACCCCGTCAGACCACTCATGCAGTGCACCGGCCTCTCCAGTGTCTCATATCTCTCCAATAAGCTCTCCCGGTTTGCCGACCAATAATCTTAGCAAAAGTCCGTTTACCGACAACTCATACTTCAATGTACAACAAACAAGTGTTTTGCAGCAACAGTTGGAACAGTTCCGTATGGTTTCAGACAAATCCAATGATCCCAACGATCACTATCTTATGGTATGATATCTCATGATTATGGTTATTAGCGTTGAATCATTATTAAACAACTGATCCATTGGTTCAGATGCCAGGAAATGGAACCGTTCACTCATCGAGCAGTAGTGCGAGTTCGAGCACCGGTGGCTTATACATGGGCGCCGGTGCTATGCCAACCTCCTCCCGGGGTCTTAATGAGAGTGGTGTTATGAACGACTATTCCTCGCAACATATATCTCAAACACTCGCCAATACCTGTGCGAACAGTCACCACAGTTACAGCCAACCAAACACTATATACTACACCTCATCGGCGAGTTCGGTGCCATTGGTTCAGTCGCCGACTCACGCCTATTCCAAGTCCGTGATCTCATCGGCCAATCAATACCAACATTCAAATCAACCGCAAGCGCCACAAACCCCCACCAGTATTCCCGACATCATCCTCACAGGTCTGACACCCTTTCCGCATATTCATAGCCAACAGTATCACAATTATACTACCGGTAGAGACTTTCATCCAAATCGTGCATTCAATGTTGTCGAGTACACTATACCGCAGTTTTATACCACACTTTTCATACCGTACGAAAGTACTGTTGTTTTATAATTTTGAACATTTTTATTGATAACATATTTGCAAGTTTTATTAAACCTTTGAAAGTTTGATAATACTGTATAAAATGTAAATTGTAAAGTTTAATTAAGTTAGCATTCTATGACTTAAAACAAATACATGTGAGTCAGTGAAATTATTATTGAAATTGATAATGTTCATAATTGCCCTGAAACACAACAAACCTGACACTAAAACAAAACAACTATCGTAATTGAATATAGAATTGACATGGTCAACATGATAAACTATATTTGACAGAATGATTCAAATTGATTTTGAAGCATATTTAGTGATATCTAAATATTGTGTATGAAAATAGGGTTGAAATTACTGAATAGTGTGGCAAACATTTGAAATATTATATAAAGTATTGAAAGTATATGTTGTAAAGAAATAATGAATGAATACATGGATTTGAATTTAGGGCCCAATTTAGACGACCCGCTGTTGAGGGGAACAGACTTTGCTAAAGACATCGGCACAGCGATGGCGAGTATGTCTGGTATGTCGGGTTCGTTCGACTCGGATCTGTTTCCATCTGCAGATGAGGCGATGAGGGCTGGTTTGGATCCCATAGACTTCGATGGACTGCAAATATTGCCGGACATCGACCCCAATAATGAGGAGGCGTTCCGATTAGAGCGCTCTTAACTTTTAATCGTTTAATGGCTTTGATTTGGAGTCGTATTTGTTGTCTCTTTAAACAAAATTTAAGTATAAATATAATTATAATACAATATAATGTCTTTTGTAAGACTTATTTTGCATCTCTTATGCCAACCAATCATTAATCTTTTGTTTAAACCTTTTTGTCTGAAATACTTTTTATTTGTAAATAACTTAATCTTTAGTTGAATTTAATTTTTTTGTAAATATCGATACGAATCTGTTTTTGTACAGTCGTTAAAAGAATAAGTTTTTTATAATTATTATATCTATTGTTTCGAAAGCCATTATATCTTCATTTGTATAAAATGTTGAGACACTTAGAAGTTTAAGACTTTATATTATTTCATGATTTCTATATTTAAATATATTTACAAATATATATAACTTTTTATTGAATCAATCAATGCTTAAACCAATTGATTCGCATATAATTGTTATTTCATTAAGTTTTTCATATCTAATATAAAATATGTTTTGATGTTACTATAAATTTTTTATTATTGTTGACTGAATTGAAATGTTTGTTGTATTGAATTGTTTGTCATATGATTGAAAATTATTGGCGACTAATGGCAAGAATTACAGTTAAGACATAAAAACTATAAATAATTGGTTTAAATTTTTTACAAATATATCATTCATTTTACAATCAATTATACGATTGAATACTTTATTAAGCTTATAAAATTAATAACATATTACTATTAATAACAATCTATTAAAACTGTTTTTATCAAATTTATTTAAAGTTCATTTTGCACTAAATATCTAAATATTAAATAATTTGCTAAAACTCTTTACAAATAATTGCTTCTATTGTTTCTACTGATTGTATGAATGAATTGTTTTATCTTTAAATTTGAGCAAAATTTATATTATTATCAGAAATACTCAAAATTTATTCATTTTTTCATTCTTATTATTTGAGCCAAATTCCAATTAAATTCTATAAAAACTTGTTTATTTATATAAATGTTTTTAATTGATGCTATTTTACTCTCAAGTTTCATCTCTAATTGTAATCTCAATACTAAGTTATTAATACTGCTTTATTATTCAAATAACTCGGAAAATAAATTTCTCGGTTTTCTATTTTCTATATTTATTTTCACTTCACTCTCCAGAATATGTTTCATTTCTGCAATTAGTGCACAAATCAAACCAATCAAACCCATAACAATCAAATTAATTGTTTGCTGGCTATAAATTCAGTATTATTGAGTTTAACTTACATTATAACTAAAATGCAATATTTATTACATGTTACGTAAAATCATTTCAATTACATAATATTAATATGTATAATATGTTGCTGAACTGGACATGTAATGGACTGTAGTGTATAACCTTTGAGTCATGAGATTCTCTCAGAATAGTTATCAAATGTTGATGAGATACGGATCGATTCACTAGAATGCAACATATCATCCAGGTTCAACTCATCATACTGTTGAATACTTGTATACAGAATACTTGTATTACGACTTACGTCTGGTGTGGATAGCCTATAATACAGTATATAGCTTATCTACAATATGGTTTTATTTAATTTTAGCTATCATATCTTATTTTCAAATTTTGGTTAAAATTTTTAAAAATACTTGTATTACGATTTACGTCTGGTGTGGATAGCCTATAATACAGTATATAGCTTATCTACAATATGGTTTTATTTAATTTTAGCTATCATATCTTATTTTCAAATTTTGGTTAAAATTTTTAAAAAATGTAATATGAAGTATGATTAGTCAGGAATGCTAATTTAGTTGGCTCAGGATAGTTGCAAAAGTTGGCGCAAATAAAATATTTAAACATTCATTTTAATATACTGTATAATATAACTACTTATACCCTGTCTATAAACTAGTAAATTATAGAATATTCTGACAAAATATAAGATATTATAAAATAAGAGAAAACTCGTAGAGATTTGCGCAAAGAATCTGCAAATGAAAGTGAAGTGGAATGGAGTGGAGGAGTGCGCGCACACTGTCTGCCAAAGATATGTCACCACTTGATGTCTTCCATCTTTGCATTCAATGGGTTTTATTTAATTGAATGACAGATAAATAGATAGACAATGTCTGCTATCATGAACATGAATGGGTCTAATTTCAATGACTCGTACCATGAAATACCATCTGAAGTGGTGAACAGTTCCAAACTAATGGGTTTTATTTAATTGAATGACAGATAAATAGATAGACAATGTCTGCTATCATGAACATGAATGGGTCTAATTTCAATGACTCGTACCATGAAATACCATCTGAAGTGGTGAACAGTTCCAAACGAGATATCATAATATACAGCATTCTGTTCGTCATATCCGCGGCCGGAAATATATCTGTTTTCACGGCTTTATTGAGGAATCGAAATCGCAAACTAAGAATCAATTTATTAATATTCAATTTAGCCATCGCTGACCTAATCGTCACATTCATAATGATTCCTCTGGAGGTTGGCTGGAGGATCACCGAGTCGTGGATCGCCGGCGACTTTGCCTGTCGTCTCTTACAAGCGCTCAGGGCTTTCGGGCCATACCTGTCGTCAATGGTTTTGGTGTGCATTTCATTTGACCGATACTTTGCTATCATTCACCCCATGAAAGTGAATGACGCCCATCGCAG